ACACACACCCAGCACGCCCCTGCGGGCGGTTTATCCTTCAAGCTCGGGTCCTCTACCAGAGGCCTGGGAGCTTGGCCCAGATAAATGCCACACAGCAGACACATCTCTACATCAACTGTTCAAAGGAGACGATTATACGATTCAGGCATTTATGGTCAAATGAAACCTCTACCAAGGAAAAGCAACAAGCAGAAGAGATTTGTTGGCGCCAACAAACACAAGGCATGGACATTAGACCAGTGGAAATCTGTGCTTTGGTCTGATGAGTCCAAATTTGAGCTCTTTGGTTCCACCAGCGGTGTCTTTGTGCAACACAGAAAAGGTGAGTGGATATTCTCTACATGCATGATTCAAACAGTGAAGCATGGAGGTGGTGTTTTGGTGTGGGGGTGCTTTGCTGGTGACACTGTTGGGGATTTATTCAAAAGTGAAGGCACACTGAACCAACATGGCTACCACAGCATCCTACAGCAACATGCCATCCCATCCAGTTTGTGTTTAGTTGGACGATCATTTATTTTCCAATAGCAAAGTGACCCCAAACACACCTCCAGGCTGTGTAAGGGCTGTTTGACCAAGAAGGCGAGTGATGGAGTGCTGCGCCTGATGGCCTGGCCTCCATAGTCACAGTCGTCTGAAAACGCTCCACGTCCACACTACCGTTTTCAGTCGTTTTCACAGAGTTGTGCGTCCACATTGAAACGCCTGAAAACGCTCACGTTCCAGTACTGTGCATGCGTGAAACGCAAGACGATTCGGCCTGCCTCATTTCTGTCAGCCATTTATTTACTTTCCAGCTCTTTGAAACATCGTGCCAAAATGTCAAAGAAAAGCACCGAGTTTTTTAATTGGACTAACAATGAGGTGGAGTTGTTGCTGCGAGTAACACAAAAGTACAAAGTTGCAAAAGCGAGTGAGAATTAAAGAATTTGAAGAAAAGCTATCTGGAGCATGTACAAAACTGACATTAATCTTTAATAAGGCTGTCAAAATTGAGAGCAAACAAAACAACTGCTGTGTAATGCCCTCCGCTATCTTTATTTAATTGGTCACTTAACTGCATCACATGAAGTCCTGTAGTGACTTCAGTTAGCACGAGCTTGTGACTCCTTGAAGCTGGATTTGTGTGTACTACCAGTTTCAAGCAGAGATCTTTCTTGTGTAAGTTAAATGTGTTAACCACTACATAAAGTTCTCACTAGTCTTGTGACTCTAATAGGGGACAAAATCTGCTTCATGTTGCTTTCAATAACTATCGACTGTTATCAGTCAGTAAAGTGTTCGCTGAGGTCACAGGAGGGTAATTCTAGACTTCAATAGAATCACACACAAAAAGAGGAGTTGCCCTCTGGCAGCCATTAGAAAGAATGCAGGATAAAGGCACTTGGCACTGAATTTAACACCTCCACCAAGCCTGAAATGGAATGAAAGAACAGTTGTCAAGGTAACAACCACACACATGCACATACATAAAAGAAATTGCTGGATTTATCAGATGGTACTGGGAGCATTATTTGGCAATGGAAATAAGATTGCCCACACAAGAAGGTACAACAAGGTAAACAAAACAATCTACAATGCTTCAGATAACTTTTTATTGTGAATTCAAAAAATCAGGGAGCAAACAACCTTCCTGGGTAGGCATGTTAGAGTATTATTATAAACTCAGAATGAAAGCAGGTAGGTGAGCCAGAATCTGTCTGAAGAGTTTAAAGGTCGATTAATGACATGAAATGTAGACAAGATTAGAATTTACAGTCATTTGCTCTTCTTGATGTTGTAGCTCTACTCCTGCAGGGTGCTTTTGGAAATGAAGTGTAGTCCTTCCTCTTTCAGCCGGGCCAGCACTGGTTCGTAGATCTCTTTCACCATTGGAACCACCAGACCCTTTGTATTGATTTCACCTACAAAGTAAGTATAGAGAGCCGGTAACATTATATTCTCAAGTATTTATCTAATATTCAGTGAATGAGGTTGGTGACTAAATTTAGTTTGAACATAGTTTGAATGCTCTCTGTAAAGTGAAAGACCAACGAAAATGAACATTTTTGAAAAGTGAAATCACTAACCGTTAAGAACCATCCGAGCAGCAATGGCTGCTGGGTATCCAACAGTCTTGGCCATGGCTGAGAAGCCGGTGGGGTCGCCATACACGACCAGGCTGATGTGTTTGGTCTCTAGTTCTCCAGTTGGATAGCGAACCCCCACATCGTTTCTCAGAATGATCATGTCTCTTTCTCCCTTATCTGATGACAAGAGGCAATAGTTCTTTTTACACTTGGTGTCACATTTAATACTCCTGTTCTTCT